CACAGTAACCAAAGCCCTGTTCTGTCAGTTTCACTTCTTCAGGCCACATAAAGGTAATTGAAGTAGTTGAAATACTAACCCATTGTTGTGACTCTCCTATCCCCTGTCCTTGTAAACTGATACTTCTTTTCTTCCTTTACTGTGGTTTTACTGGGGTCTCAGGAGAGATGGAATAAAGGTGTCATTCACCTGTAAAGTAATCATCAGTTCTTCAAACTTACCTGGGACACAGAGAGAACATGTGGCCACTGAGAAATTCTTCTCTCTTCCCCTATTCCAAGGAATGCTGCTCACTCAAACATCAAGCCCACTCAGGAAGGGGGTGGGACTGCCCCTCAGGAAATTCACTTCCCCTCCTGCCCCTTATTGTGGCCACCATGAGCCCAGGACAGGAAAAGAGAAACAGAAATACTTAGTCATGCCTTTGGCTTCCAGGCTCCCCAGCAGCTGGAAGGAGCTGGAAAGGGCTCCCTCCACCCCTGCTTTAGCCATGCAGTAGCCAGGTGTCTTCTTTTTCAAGCAGAAGATGTTACCATCTCAATATTCCTGGGAATCATAAAAATGGACAAGGAGAAGAGTAGTACAGGGTGCCCAGCCAATTTAATCTGTTGCTTATCAGGGCTGCCCAATAAGTGATTCCATGAGGACAGATTTTAACAGGTAATTATTTGCAATAACCAAGTTGTGGAAACAACCAGTGTCAAAGAGTGATGAGTGGTTTGGAAGCTGTGGGATAGGCACACATGGAATACTACTCAGCTTTAAAAAAGATATAAACTGGGCCTCCCCTGGTGGCTCAGCGGTTGAGTGCTGGGCTGCGAAGCTGCCCACAGCCTCTGCAGCGCCGGTTTGATCCCCGGCCACCAGCGAGGGTCCCACATGGTGCGCTGACCTCTCCTGCTGTGCCTGCTGCTCCCCTCAGCAGTGTATTTCATCGGTCTGCCTGTTCTGCTCCCTGCTCTGTCTCTGGTGGATTCTCTCACCCTCCCGCACTTCTGACTATATCCAGTGCTTGTATAAATAAATAAATCTTAAAAAAAAAATTATTAACTATTGCCATTTGCAACAACATGGATGGAACTGGAGGGGCTTATGCTAAGTGAAATAAGTCAAGAGAAAGACAAATATGAGACCGGTGTCACTTACAAGTGTAATACAGTGAAATACAACAAAGGGTCAGATAAAGCCAAACCTATTAAAACTCTAGAAATCTGACTGAAAAAAAATTGAAGTCTCTAGAGGGGGAGCAGGTGGGGGAGGGAGCAGGAGGGAGCAGGTGGGGGGGAAGGAGCACAGTGGAGGACTCTGATGGAGGACTATGTGTGTCTTAGTGGTGAGTGTGTTGTGCTAACAACACCTGGAAAGGTGATCCTATACCTCTAAATAAAATAGTGCTGAAAACTAATATAACCTCAAATAAAAAAAAAGTTAAACAATTGTTTAAATTAAAAACACAACATTCATGCTGAAGCCAATTGCACTGTGTTCTCACTTAAAACAGGCAACTAAGACTGCCCAGGGCTGTGGAGGCAGATGGCAGGAAGCTTGGTGCTAAAACTCCTTAGCAAAATAATGATTCTAAAACCACAGAATCCCGCAGTTCTAGAAGATTTCTGTTACGTAGAGATCATCGGGTAGGAAAAAAACAGGCTAAACGTCTGCTCTGGGGTAGGACCTCTAGAAGCTTCCACTTTGCCAGTGGCACCAAGGTGGACATCCAGGCCTCTAGAGAACAGCATTCATGAGAGCCATCATCCCCTATCCTAGAGGGTCTCCTTCCTCAGGCAGACTCCCCCTGGTTATATGACAGCAGACAGAGAATTTTTTTTTTTTTAAGATTTATTTATTTATACAAGAACTGGGGTAAAATCAGAGGCACGGGAGGGTGAGAGAACCCACCAGAGACAGAGCAGGGAGCAGAACAAGCAGACAGATGGAAGACACTGCTGAGGGGAGCAGCGGGCAAGGCAGGAGAGGTCTGCGCGCCATGTGGGTTTCCCCCAGCCAGCCGGGAATCGAACCCACACTGCAGAGGCTGCAGACATCTTCACAGCGTGGCCCTTCACAGTGTGGCCCTCCTGCCCAGAGAAAAATTTTACTGATGTAAAGACCAATAGGTTTCCAGCTTTCCCAAAATGACCTCTGGGTCATATTCATACTACAAAACTACTCATTATTTAATTAAAATTTAAATTTAACTAACTATCCTGAAAGGACCCTGCCTACACCCAGCCCCAAACAGGGATTCCAGGCTGTGGTTGTCTCATCATGATAATGGGGTACAAGGTCATGAATCTCCAACAGAGACAGGGACTCCGTATCTCATCCAGAAGCTAGCCCCCCTGCCCAGGGCCAACGGCACCCCAGTAAGCAGCCCATGCTTTCCATGCTGGGATCCCCTCGTCTTTGCTGCAGATCCCTACTGGGCAAAATACTCTGATCACCCCCCCTAACCTGGGGCATCTTGGGGTATCGTGCCCACCTTGTCTCTGCTGCCCAACATCTGCCAACCCGGATGCCACTCCTCCCACTGAGACCCAAACCCAGCTCCTCACAGTAGGGGCTCCCCCAGTGTGGCCCCCAGACAGGCAGCATTAGCATCACCTGGGCCTTCAGAAGTGGAAATGACCCACACTGAGCTAAGCACTTTCCAGACATTACTAGACCCTCACCACATCCCCCTTAGGTCATAGTAGCAACTTGTCCTCTTTGAGATTCAAAGAGGCCATGTGCTCCTAGTCACAAAACCAGTAAGTGGTGGATACAGGACTCACACCCAGGTCTGGCTGGCTGCCAATCCCAGGCTCCTGAGCACCCTCTGAGATATTAGGTCCTGGTGTCCACGGAAGGAAAGATAGGAGTCCTTGTGGCTGGGAGGGTATGATGGCCTCTTCCCACTCCATTTGGAAGAATATCATCTTGGTGTGTGGGAGTAAATTCCAAGGGGGGAGTACAGGGCCCAATCAGACAAATTCACTGACTCAGTGGTTGTATGAGTTCCTGGGAGTGATGTTAATGTTCAGTTAGCTTGATTGATGAGGTCTAGGCTTAAAAATCGAGTCTACAGTTAATGAAATGGAAATACCGGAACTTCCCCGGGACATTATGAAGAGGGCAAAGTCTCAGGGAAGTAGATCTGTGATAATGGACCTATAGCTCTGTAAGCTACTCAGCACCCCTGAGCCCGCTCCTGAGAGGCCAGGAGATACTGCCTGTGTGCAGTGTTCACACAAGCTTTGCTGTCCAGGTAAATATGCTCTGGGAGTTCCCACCCTTTATCAGCCTATAAGCGCAGGCAGAGGCGCCAGCCAGAACAGCAAGGGACTGAATCAACCCAGCAGCCATCACTCTCAGGCTGCAGCTGCCATCATCAGCCCTCAGTGTGCAGGTCTCCGCAGAGCTCCTGTGCTTGCTGCTCAGGGCTGCTGCCCTCAGCACCCAGGTGCTCACTCAGTCAGGTAAACTCCTTCTCTCTCTCGCTCTCTCTGCTTCTCTTTTTCTAGGAAGGCTGAATCTGAAGTGTCTTGGTTCCGAACTCATCAGAGCAGAAGTGTCCTCAGCATTTCACTTTATAGATCTAATTTTTAAGACAGAAAACTGCCAGCCAGGTAGGAGACAGGAGTCCTCCCCAGACCTATTAGTAGAGCCAGAATAAATCCTAAACTAAGCTGCCCACTCCAAATCCAGAACTTTTTCTATCTCCCATCTGATCTCCCCAAACTCTGCAGATCAGGAGGCCCATCCAGGCCCGGACACATTGGCTCCCTGATCACTAATGACCATGTCCATCAAGCAGCTGAGGGAGGTGACCTCAGATTTTGAGTCTGCGTGGCAGGTACCACCTGGGACCTTGGGCAGGATCATAGACCAGAGGTGGATCAAATCCTCTTCCATCTCTCCCTTGCCCTCCAGACCCTCCACTGCCTTCAAGTGGAGAAAAACCTGGCACCTTCTCAAAGGCTTTTCCTCTGTGATTGTAGTTCTAGATGTGCTCAGAGCCGTGTCCACTTGCTGTTTCACATTAAATAGTAAGAAGCCCCCATTGCAGAGACTGAAGAGCTACCAATTCCCCAGCATCCAATGCGCCCAGGAAGCTGTCATGTAGGTAGAAAAACACAGCTCATCTCCACATCCCTACCCAAGTCCTGGATCCTCCCCCTGCCATTCTAATTTCTGTGCCAGAGAAAGACATCAGACTTATTTGAGATCTTAAGCTGTGAAGATAAGATTCACCAAACAATGGAATCCAGATCCACCTAGTGTTACATCTTAAACCTTCCTGAGGGCTGGCAACTCCTTGCTGGATGAGTGTCCACTCCCACCTCCTGTTGCTTTATCAGAAGCCAGGCTACCTTCTCCAGGAAGAGCAAAAGCAGACATGATAGTCTACAGACACCCCTCTTTCTACACACCTCCTTCCTCCTGTCCCAGGGGGGCTTCCTCCCTAGCAGCAGGTGGGCCGAGCAGGCTTTAGCGTCCCAGTGAGGGTTCCACTGCTCTCACCAAGATGTCTCTTGTCCTCTGGATGAAGCCTTGCCATATCTGGGTGTCCTGCTGGTCAACCCAAGAAGTTCCTGCTAACCCAAGTCTATGTGAGGAGAGAGGTCCCTGAGCTAGGTCGTGCCAGCCAGTCACCTGGCAACCTGGGGCACAAGAAAGAGCTCTAGCTTGGGAGGCAGCACCCTGGGCCCCAGGCCAGATCTGATATGGACTTGCTGTGCCTGTGGTTTCTTTCTCCAGTCCCCAAACGCCTCATGTGTAAAATGTGGATTAGCAACAACGTATAGACATGTGAAATCACAGGTCCTCTCTGGCCAGGGAAGAATTGGTTTTTGAATGATATCTAAGCTGTGGGAACAGCAGGGAGAGAGAAGATCTGGCACCAAGTTTGCTTCTTCACTGTGGCTGCGAGACCACTAAGGCCCAAAGCAGAGAATCAACATCATACCCCAAAGTCAAGGCTTCCCCGCAGGAAAAAGGCAGGCAGATGAGGTCATGACTCTTTTATTGGTTCTGAATGACATGAAATCAGTCTCCCTCCTCCACCATTCCCCAGACCTTGGTCTCAGAATTTCAATGCCAATTAATTTCAATGCCAATTTCAATGCCAAAATTCCTATGTGGTCTAAGAAACATAGGGAGGCAGGAGTTGAAGGTTCTAGAATTTAAATATAAAGTGCAACAACATAGCTTATAGGACCCAGTAACCACCCATGACCCAGCAAATTTGGTGCAAAAGGATCGGTGTCAGCTTCGGGTTCAGGTACAGGTGAAGCCAGGTGGCCTCCAAGGTCCAGGATGAAAAGGAATTCACTCATTTTTCAAGTGCAGGGGTCCGTCTTGTTTAAATAATCCCTAACCCATGGCTCTGTCTTTGAGGCACAACTCTCTTTTCCTCTTTTCAACTTGAATCTGTGGGTAGAGACAAAGGAGGGGCTGAGTCCCCCTGGTTGCCACATGCAAGCCCCATCTCCATATCCCTGAGCTGCTCTCTCTGGGCCTGTGCACTAAGCCATTGCACAGCCCCTGACCTGCTCACTGGGAGCAGCACACAGCACCGGGGAGAGGTTAGTAAACTGTGTTTGCTGGATCCCTGAAGAGTGTCCCTGGGGGTATCACATTGAGGGGAAGGCTGCAGACACATGAAGATTAGCTGTTGTGAAATTCCCATCCCAGCATGTCTCATAGGTGCCCATTTTGCATCTTTTTCTTGTGCATGTGTCTGTCTGGGAGCCTCAGTTTGGGCATGTATGTGTGCATGAGTGTGCATATGAGTGTTTTTTTTTTTTTCTGATCTGATCTCCTAAACCTGTCAACTATTCATGCTATAGGGCAATTCTGCCTTAAGGAGCTGCATGTCTTTAGACAAGTCTCTCTATCTCCCTGACCTCAGTTTTCAAGATAAAATGTGTGTCCGAGACAGCTAAAATATTAGTCCTTACAGCAGATGCGGAATGACTTGTGTCCACTATTTCATCAAGCTCCGGCTGGCCTGTGTCATCTCTATCATGTGTACTCCACTTCACAGATAAGGAGGGCAGAGTAGTACCCAGATAATGAACTATATATAGTAAGAAGAGTTACCTACACAAGTCCCCCACACCTATAGTAAATTCAGAAGCAGGAACTAATCGTGATCCCTCCCTCCTTCTACTATGCAGTAATGCCTGGAACTGTTAAGCATATTTTGAGCATAAAATTAGCTATATAATAGTTGGGACCTTGGTGCTCCATGAAGTAAGTTCCTGCAGGACCACAGCTGCCACCATCCTCTCATTAACAAGCGCAGCGCTGCCCCCAAGCATCCTCACTTGGTTCTGCACTCAGGTCTTGGCCTCACTGTCTAGGTTTAAAAATCTTATTCTGGGGGAGCACCGCCATCTAGCGACTTCTCATTCCAGGAGGGCAGTTTTCTGTTCTCAGCAGGGGAAAGTGGGGATCGTCCAGGGGAGTCAACTCACATTACTTGATCCTTGTAGGAGCAGGAAGAGCTGGTGTTTTTGTAGCACTTGATGAACTTCTCGTGGATCCTTCTTGTTGTAGATGTGTAACAACAATTGGAGGAGGACACGTGCACTAGGAGAGAAGCACAGACTTGTTTTGCATTCATTTCTCCCTTGGACTACTTTCTCTCATCCAAAATGAATTTTTTTTTAAGCATCTTCCACTGCAGACCAAGGTTTTGGGACCACATCCAGAGGGTCTTGGAGCCACCTAGCTCGGTACATACACAAATTCCCCAAAAATGAGTTGTGTGGCCTTAATTTCAATGAGCCTTCACTCTGAGCACCACACTCCCTATTTGCAAAATGAGACTTTACAGAATAATGTCTAAAGGCTCTTCCAGTTCTGATATCAGCATTAGTGTCTAGTTCTGTCCCCATATGTGGGTGCAAAATCTCTGGACCTCAAATTTGGGGGCCTGGTGAGTCTGGTGCATTCAGAACAACTGTGGTCTTGGGACCTGGGGCAGGATGAGGAAGTGTGCAAGGAGCTCAAAGGGATGGGAGGAGAGAGGAAGAGCTTCCAGGACTGACCAGCTGCCCCACAGGCCCTCCAGATACCTTCTCCCTTGGCTCTGAGCTCTGTTCCAGCCGCTGGCCCCACTCATCTGTCTTGTACACCTTACCTTCAAGAAATTTGCATTCCAGTCCTGGTTCTTTCCTCCTGGTTTTGGGGTTCATGTAGCCCCTTTGTGTGTCTGCCATTAGGTCAACATTGTTTTAATAGTCCCAAAGAGCAGACATTGCAATCCCACTTACCTGATGGACCAGAGTTTGAGAGATAAGTGACTTGCCTGAGGCTAGCCAACTGTTTTGGCCCTGAGTCCTGACTTCAGATTCTGTTGGTTATCTGTTATGCTATGGGGGCCAAACCCACTCCCTCCTCTGGTCTCACTCAGCCTAAGTAATCTGCCAGGTGCCCTCCATCAGAGCCTCCTTTTGCTCAAGCTGGCAGTTCAGCTCTCTCTCTGTTGCTCCAGACTACTGTTTCTCTTCCAGGCCACCATACCTAAGTCTTTCATTCCTGCTCGTGGACTAGAATTTTTCCCAAAGAAAGGCTATTGGAGACAGTGAGTTCAGGGTGAGCTCTCCCCAAATCCAGAGCACCTGCCATGTTTCTATCCCCCCTTCCTCCAAGGAGAAACCAAATGACTTAGCCACACTCACTGCTCTTGCCGTCCAAGGCTTGCAGACACATGGCAGCCAGTAGGAGGCACACCAGGGCCACACTGGTCAGCTTCATCTCGGGCAGCTTCAAGAGATTCAGGGCTCACTAGAATGGTCTTGATGAGTCCGACGAGCTAAGAGCTTTTCTCTGGCCTATCCTGCATCTCTTGAAGCTTTTATTAGCCTGGAGAGGGGTTTTCCAGGCCCCAATAAGTCATAGAAAATGGGCTGGTTCCACAGCCAACACCTGCGGTTATCACGGCAGCATGGAAAACTCCTGAGTGGTATTTGAGGTGTGGGGAAACTCCCCCGATTCAGGAGGAGATAAGGATCTTGAGAAAATGAGTAGGAGCTGTCCCAGGTGAGTGGGAAGTGAAGTTATGTGAGAGGAAGTGGACTGTTCGTGGCCTCTTTAATCCCATGAGTTTCATTCAGGGATGGAGCTTCTGTGCTGGGACATGAAAAGCCAAAGAGCTCTGGCCCAGGATCAATGTGGGCCACACCCAGTTCTGCACATTCCCAGTTGTGTGACCTCCCCCAGTCACGTATCAACTGCAGATGGAGAGAGTAACAGGGGCCTCAAGAGGGTGTGATGGGAATTCAGCAAGCTCTGTGATGGCACGTGCCTGGCCCACATACTGGCTATGTCACTTTTGCCAACCATGCCACACTTTTCCACAGCAACTCTGTTCTAGGTGTTCAGTTCCCCCAGGGGAGACCAATGAGATGCAGGATGTGAACTTGAGCCCCTACCTTTTGACTCACAGTGAGACAAGGAAAATCATCCAGGGTAAGGACAGCAGATGTGCCACATGGAGGCACAGAGGAGGACAAGGGGCTGTCCTGAGGCACCAGAGAGGCTCCAGGGAATGTTCTTCTACCAGACTCTCCTGCAGGAGGGCTGAAGAGGCAGGAATCACACTAAGGGAGAAGGGGCTTGGGCAGGGACAATGAGACTTAATGAAAGGGGCATCTTCCTTCAGAGCTACCGGAGGGAGCTATAGTGCTGGTGGAAGAAGAGCATCCAGAGTGAGGAAGTGGCTTCGGAGAGGTGTGACCCTAAGCTGGGTCTTGAAGACAATGAATGTCCTATTTGGAATAAGGAACACATAATAGGTGCTCAAGAAAAATAGCTGGCTCAATTTCTGTTAGATTCATAAGACCTACCCATAACCTAGAGTAACTTTGGTCGTGCACTCTCCACCTCAACAACCTCAGTGCCCCTCCCACTGTCATTTGGGGTACATACAGGCTGCTTTCCTGGACATTTATACCTCCCCCATGGATTTCTGGGTGTTTGAATATTTGCACGTCCCTAAACATGAGTGTTTCCCTCTCTCAGGCTTTCCCTCTTGCTCTTCTACCTGCTGAACTCACGGCATTGTCCCTGATTGTGAACCTTCAATCCATTTCAAATTCAGTGTCTCCATAAGGACCCTTCTGCTCCCCAGCAGACAGGCTCACAGCCTCTTTGAACCCCCATGTGTCTGGATCTCCCATATGAAGGTCTTCTACACCTGCAATCCCCCTATTCTGTGTAGTTCCCAAATGGAGCCCAGGAATACTGGTACATGGGAGTTGAAAGCTCTTTGAACACCCTCTGCAGCAATGGCTCCTAAAAGGCTCCTGGGAAGGCTTTTGAAAAAAAATGAAGATGTCATATTTCCATTTCAGAATCAGAATCAAATAGATATGCCTGAACAAGTTGGGGGGTGGGGTGGAATTCCAGTTGATTCAGGACCTGGAACATAATAATTGTAGATTTGGTGTTTTCTCCACATGTCACAGATGGGGAAAGAGACATCCCAGAAAGAGGAAACTGAATTTGCCAAGGTCATGCTGAGAACTTGAGGAGGTGGGCCGATGCACTTGACCCCGGTTGTTTGACCTCTACATGGACCATCTCAGAACTTTCAGGCAGGAACATAGTCACCAAAGCCCTTCTCTGTCAGTTTCCCTTCTTCAGACCACCCAAAGGTACTTGAAGTAGTAGAAATCACTAACTCACTGTAGGGACTCCCTTATCCCGTGTCCTTGAAGATTGATGCTTTTTTTCTTCCTTTACTATTGTAACATGGGGACCTGGGTTAGATCAGAGATAAAGGTGTGATTAATCTGTGGGAAATAACCAGGGGTTCTTTAGCTCACCTGGGCATGGAGAGGACAGTGTTACAATGGGAAATTCTTCTCTTTTTCCACTCTTCCTGGGGATGCTGCCCACTTGAGAATCAAGGGGCCAGAATTTCCCCTCTAGAAATTCACTTCCCCTCCTGCCCCTCATTGTGGCCACCATGAGCCCAAGACAGGAAAAGAGGGGCAGAAACATTTAGTCATGACTTCACCTTCCAGGCTCCCCAGCAGCTAGAAGGAACTGGAGGTGGCTCCCACCCCCTTAAATTGGCCACTGCAGTAACCAGGTGCCTGCTTTGTCAAGTGGAAAGTGTCACCATCTCAATATTCCTGGGAGCCTTGAAGAGTGAAGTGAGATGGACAAGGAGAAGAGTAGTGTAGAGTGCCCCGCCCACATGCTGAAAGTTCTAGTTTTAATCAGTTGCTTATCAGGGCAGCCAAATAAGTGATACTGTGAGGACAGATTTTAGTAGATGACTACTTACAATAACCAAGTTAGGGAAACCACCAAAGTGTCAAAGAGAGATGAGTGGTTAGGAAACTGTGCTATATACACACAATGGATTACTACTCAGTTTAAAAAATGATATAAACTATTGCCATTTGGGGGCCTCCCTGGTGACGCAAGGGGTTAAGAAGCAATCTATGAATCTATCTGCAGCCACTGCAGTATGAGTTCCACCCCCAACCAGGGAGCAACCCACATGGCGCAGCAGACCTTTCCTGACTGGCCTGCTGCTCCCCTCAGCAGTGTATTTCAGTGGATCTGCCTGTTCTGTTCCCCACTCTGTCTCTGGTGAATCCTTTCAGCCCCCATACCTCTGGCCTGTGCTCCAGTTCTTGTATGAATAAATAAATCTTAAAAAAAACTATTGTCATTTGCAATAGAATGGTTGGAACTGGAGGGAATATGGACTAAGCAAAATATCTTCAGAAGGAGAATGTCAGTTATATGTGGAATATAGGGAAACAAAACAAAGGGTAAATCCAAACCAATAACAAACACAGAAATCCAACTGCAGAATTGAGGCTACTAGAGGGCAAGCAAAAGGTGGCGGGGGGGAGGGGAGTTTAGTGGGGAGGGAGCACTGTGGGCTATGATAGAGGACTCTGGGTGTCTTGGTGGTGGGTATTGTGCAAAAAACACCTGCCGAGGTGATCCTGTACCTAAAAACCATGTACAGTGTTGTAAACCAATGTAACCTCAAATTTCAAAATATGTTAAATAATTGATTAAATTAAAACACAACATTGCATGCTGTAGCCAACTTCACTGTGTTCTCACCTAGGACAGCAGGGCACCAAGGCTGCCCAGGGCTGTTAGAGGCAGATGGCAGGATGCTTGGTGCTAAGACAGCAGCATAATGATTCTAAAACCACAGAATTCCACAGTTCTAGAAGATTTCTGTTTTATAGAGATCAATGGGTAGGGAAAGAGCAGGCTGAACGTCTGCTCTGGGGTAGGACCTCTAGAAGCTTCCACTCTGTCAGTGGGACCAAGGTGGATGCCCAGGCCTCTAGAGAACATCATTGATGAGAGCCATCATCACCTATCTCAGAGGACTTCCTTCCCCAGGGCAGACTCCCCCTGGTTATATGACAGTCGAGAGAAGATTTATAGTAATGATGGACAGGTTCCCAGATTTGGCAACATGAGAATAAGGGCATATTCATATTACAAAATTACACTGTTTATTTGAAATTCAAATTTAACTAAAAGTCTGCATTTCAAGCAGGCACTAGAGGGCTTTCCTGTAGGACCCTGCCCACCCCCACATCCATCAAGGGGCTCCAGGCTGTAGCTGGCTCAACATCATAACTGGGTGCAAGGCCATGAATCTCCAACAGAGATGTAGACTCCACTTCTCATCAGCTAGCCCCCCTGCCCAGGGCCAACAGCACCCTAGTAAGCAGCCCATGCGTTCCATGCTGGGATCCTGTCACCTTTGCGGCAGATCCCTACTGGGCAAAATACTCTGATCCTCCCCTCCCAACTTGGGGCATGTTGGGGGTATTGTGTCCACCTTGTCTCTGCTGCCTAACAAGTACCACTGCCGGCATCTGCCACCCCAGATGCCACTCCTCCCACTGATACCCTAACCCAGCTCCTCACAACAGGGGCTCCCCCAGTGCGGCCCCCAGACAGACAGGATCAGTATCACCTGGGCCTTCATGTAGTGGAAATGACCCACACTGAGATGAGCACTTTCCAGGCATGATCAGAATCTCACAACATCACCCTGAGGTCATAGCAGCAATCTGTTCCTCTTCGAGCCTCAAAGAGACCATTTGCTCCTTGTCAGTGGTGGATACAGGACTCACACCCTGGTCTGACTGGCTGTGGATCCCAGGCTCCTGAGCACACTCTGAGATGTTAGTTTCTGGCGTCCATGGAAGGAAAGACAGGAGTCCTTATGGCTGGGAGGGTGTGATGTCCTCTTACTACTGCCTTTGGAAGAAATTTGGGGGCCCACGTGTGGGGGTGAATTCCATGGGGGGGGGAGTACAGGGCCTAATCAGACACATGCATTGACTGTGAGTGGTTATACAAGTTCCTGGGAGTGAAGTTAATGTTCAGTTAGCTTGATTGTTTCTTTTTAGACTTAAGAAAAGGAGTTTGCAGTTAATGAATTTGAAATGCCGGAACTTCCCTGGAACATTATGAAGAGGGCAAAAGCTCAGGGAAGCAGATCTGCGAAAATGGACCTACATATTGCACAAGCTGCTCAGCATCCCTTAAGCCACTACTGGGAGGCCAGGAGACCCTCCTGTGTGCAGGTGTTCAGCACACACAAGTTTGCTGTCCAGGTAAATATCCCCTTGGTGCTCCCATCCTTCGTGCTTCCTATAAATGCAGGCAGAGGCGCCAGCCAGAGCAGCAGAGGGGCTGAGACAACCCAGCAACCATCACTCTCAGGCTGCAGCTGCCATCCTTACTCACCCTCCAGCATGCAGGTCTCCGCAGCCCTCCTGTGCCTGCTGCTCACAGCTGCCTCCCTCAGCTC